CTGGTTACTGAAAAGTGTGTGGCACCCCCTTCCTGCTCTGGCCATGTGAAGTACTGGCCTCCCCTTCCCCTTCTGCCATGATTGTAAGTTTCCTGCAGCCTCTCCAGAAGCCGAACAGATGCCGCCATGCTTCCTGTGCAATCTGCAGAATCATGAGCCAATTAAACCTCCTTTCTTTATATAGACTACCCAGTCTCAGGTATTTCTTTATAGCACTGTAAGAACCGACTGATGCATCTAGGAAGGACAGTAACAACAGAATCAATCCACTTTTGCTATCTGCTTTAAACCAAACTCTTCTCTGCTGAACAGGAAAACTGAAGCAGAAACAGAGAATGGAAAGATAAGAGACGACTAAAACACAGTCGAGGTGTGTGCAGGTCAGTGAAACAGTAGAGAAATGATGGGCTTTCTAAGTTACTTTTCTTAATGTATATTACACCACACTCAATTGGGTATATTAGTATCATCAGGGCTCTTCCAAAAATCAATAATTACCTATCTGTGGTAGATTTCCTATACGAGCCTTCTTTTCCTCTTTTTTTCATTTCTAAAATCCTAGTTAATTCCATGACTCCCAGTCCCGAGGTGTTATCACATCCATCCCTCTGTGTACAACATGGCCAGCTTACACTTCCTAAAGTCTGGTTTTAGTCATGTTACTACTCCTCTAAAACATTGTAATGGCTCCCTATTGCTTTTATCCTTAGCTTACAATTCAGAGCTCTGTGTATCCTGGTCCTAACCAACTTTGAAGACCCAAGATGTTAAACCTGGGTCAATCTAGGCCCCTCTTCCTCCTGAAGAAACAGTTGTGCTTTTCCTTCACATTCAGCCCAGGCATGTCTAGTTCCACTCCACTGTGGCCAATGGCAGAACACAGCTATGGCAAAAGAAGAGACACTGAGCTGGGAGCTCATGCATATAATCCCAGTGACTCCAGAGGCTAAGGTGGAAGGATGGCTTGGGCCCAGGAATTCAAGGCTGCAGTGAGCTATGATGTCGCCTCTGCACTCCAGGCTGGGTGGAGTGAGACCTTGTCTCAAAAAGAAAAAAAAAAAGGAGGGAGGGTCTTGTTCTGTTCTTAACTGCATCCTCAGTACCTAGAACTAGACCTGTCACTTTGTAGATGCTGAATGATATTTTTCTGTTGAGTAAAGAAATGGAACAGGCCATTTCCTCTAACTGAAAAGTTCTCTGTCCAGGTCTTTAGTTCTCAAAATCTTTCTGTCTCAGTAGGTGCTGTGGCACTTCTTAGAGCATGGCACTGAAACTTTTTGACACACCACTCATTGAGACTTGTCATAATGACCCTTCCCCTTCAATCAGGGCACCAGGATTGCTGGACCGATAAAACACAGTAGAAGTAACACTGTAATAGTTATAAAAATATGCCCACCAAATTCTTTAATACTCCTCCCTTGGGGTAAAACCTGTTTCCTTCCCCTTGCCTGTGGGCTGAACTTAGTAACTTGCTTCTAGTCGCTAAATGGAAGTGATGTTGTGTGACTTTGGAGGCTAAGTCCTAACAAGGCACTGTGGCTTCTGTCGTATTTGCTCTAGCTCCCTGAGATCACTGGCTCTGAGGAAATCAGCTGCTATATTGTGAGAGGTCCTATGGCACAGCTCATGTGGCAAGGAACTGAAGCCGTCTGTTAACAACACATGCATGAGCTTGGAAGCAGATCTTTCAGCCCCAGCCAAGCCTTTAGATGACTGCATCTCCAAAGTGTGTCTTAACAGCAAACTTATGAGACCATGAGTCAGAGCCACCCAGCTAAGTCACTCTGGACCCCTGTCTCTATGGCAGATAAAGGTTTTTTGTTTCAAGCTATGAAGTTTGGGGAGCCACTTACTACACATTAATAGAGATGCATGCCGGTTTCTAAATTCAGACCTTAAGAAATAAGAAATTTCTGTTTCCTTCCTCTTGGGACACTCGCTCTTGGAACCCAGCAGCCATGTTGTAAGGAAGCCAAGTTGCCTACAGAGAGGCCCACATAGAGAGCACTCAACAGCCAGACCATATGTATGCACCATCTTGGATGTGGATTCTCCCACCCCAGTTGAGCCACCCCAGCTGTCCCTGCCAAGCCCTGCCCATATTGTATTTTCAAGGGCAAAATTAATAACTGGTAATATTTTAAGTCACTACATCTTGAGGTGGTTTATTATGCAGCAATAGAAAATGCAAACAGATTTTAGCATCTGGATATGGGGTCCTGTTGTAACAAAACCCTAAAATATGAGGCATTGGTTTGGGACTTGGCTGTAGGCAGAAGCCTCATCCGCCTCAGTGAAGCCTAAAAAAAGTAAGAAAAATATATCAGAAGCTAGAAAAAAAGAGATCCTTGTAGTGGTAAAAAGTCACTTAGTTATCAACTGAGGCGATATCAAAAAGGATCCCTCAGAGTAGTACTTAGATATCCATGGAGATTTCCAAGCAGAATACGGAGAGGCCCACTGACTTCTTGTCACTCCCTGTGATGAAATGAAAGATAAGGGAGATGAATTAAAGAACAAATTGCTAAATGTAAAGGAGGTATAGATCTGGCCAGGTTTGAAAATGAAAACTAATTTCTTATTCCTGCTCTCTGTAAATGGCAAATAATTCTCAAATTAAGAAAGGGCCTCAGGTCATAGATCAAATTCAGGATGGATGTATGAGTCCTTTCTCACACTGCAGAGATTGGCTAATTTATAAACAAAACAGGTTTAGTTGACTCACAGTTCCACATGGCTAGGGAGGCCTCAGGAAACTTACAATCATGATGGAAGGCAAGGGGAAAGCAAGGCACCTTCTTCACAAGGTGGCAGGAAGAATGAATGCAGAAAGAACTACCAAACCCTTGTTAAACCATCAGCTCTCATGAGAACCCACCATCATGCGAACAGAATGGGGGAATCCACTCTCATGATCCAGTCATCTCCCACCAGGTGCTTCCCTTGAACATGGGGATTACAATTTCAGGTGAGATTTGGGTGAAGACACAGACCCAAACCATATCAACTGGTCTATAAATCTAAGAGAGCAAATCATAGACACCTGAAGACAGACAAAAGACCCCCTAAGAATCTTAAGGACCTCCCGTAGAATCCTCTCCATTCAATAGGGCTGTTAAGACTCTTACCTAAGGCCGGGTGAGGTGGCTCAAGGCTATAATCCCAGCACTTTGGGAGGCCAAAGCAGGTGGATCAGGAGGTCAAGAGATCGAGACCATCCTGGTAAACAAGGTGAAACCCCGTCTCTACTAAAAATACAAAAATTAGCTGGGCGTGGTGGCGCGTACCTGTAGTCCCAGCTACTCAGGAAGCTGAAGCAGGAGAATTGCCTGAACCCAGGAGGCAGAGGCTGCAGTGAGCCGAGATCACGCCATTGCACTCCAGCCTGGGTAACAAGAGCGAAACTTCGTCTCAAAAAAAAAGAAAAAAGACTCTTACCTAATGGAGTGAGGGTTTGCCCATTCTGAAGATATTGAAATAGGAGGAAACAGAAACAGCATTACATGCAGAAGTTGCAAAAAACTGTTGACCACCTTATCACTAGTATCACCCATGGGGACAGCCACTGACTGAAAGGCCCGTCCACCAAAGAGCATACACAGTAATCAGAAAATGGTCAAGTCAAAAGGTCAGTTACCAGGAGGATTAATTCAGGTCATCCTTCAGCAGATCAAACTTCACCAATTTTCTCAGCTGACCAAAGAGCTAAAACGGGAAATCCACCCCATATGCAGTATACCATCTTAGGAAGTTTCCCTGGAGTCTGAAGAGAGATTGTTCACATTGGAGTGAGGCTCTCTCTGCCTAAATTATACATTTCTTCCCTTGGGCTTAATACAGACTCATCCACCTGTATTCCTGGGAAAGATATATTGATTAAGAAAGGCAAAAACCCTCACTCAGAAGCAAGACTGTATTCAATCTTCTTTTTTTTTTCTCTTAGCAAATGGGCCCATAATTTCAAGTAAATGGCATGTGAAGCTGCTAAGAGCCAAGCCCCACATGCGCACTGCCATGTTCTACTGGTTGTAAATAATACGCATGACTGCACCACGGACCAAATTGCTCGTTAGCTGCCAACATTAGTTGTTTAATGATCTGAGGAGTAGAAGCTGCCAATTACTATATTCCTTCTTAAAATACCATTTAAAACCCATACATGTAATTATTATACCTTTTCGTTAAATTTTTATGATTCCTCTGAAACTGATGAGCTGTGGGTTCATTCAACCTACATAAAACTCAGAGAACTCTTTGAAGCTGTCATTACGTAACTGGGTTAAAAATCCATATATAACACACCGAGAGGGGGCCTGGACTTTAGCTCCAGATCTGCCACTGCTTAGCTAACTGAGTGACCGTAACCAAAGGACACATCCTGTGGCCTCAACCTCCCCACCTATTCATTGGGATCACGGTCCCTCTCCCGCCTACCTAAAATAAAATAACAAATACAGAAGAATGTTTGAAAGCACTATCAAATGATAGGGTAAGATACTGCTTTCAGAGACTCTTGTTTTCAAGCTACTAATTAATGGAAAAATCGATTCCTTAATAACTGCCAGAGCAAGAGGGAACATAATCCTTTGAGGATTCTCCAAGTCTCTACAACTAAATTTTTCAACCAAGAACATCAATTTTTCTCATGCTACCATCTTTCCCACTATAGGAAGGGTCTGATCACACCTAATAATCCTCATTCAGCATTTACAGATACACAATGCTATATACACATCTGCTAGAACCATATGGCACACAGAGTACGTTTCATCTCTAAACTCTTCAAGAAACAGGAAGTAGAAGTCTCAAACATGGTACTCACATCAACGACTTGTGCTATATCATGTGTGCATTAGTGAAGCTCCCCAGCAAATCTTTCAGATGTCTGAGAATAACATGATAACAGTGGAATGTTCATCCAGGACAAAGCGCGACGTGCTGGCTGGCCATCATTATTTTAGCTGGACAGCCTCAGTGTCTCCTACACTGCCAGTTACCTGATATGGCGTGCATTTTGGCTTCAAGCAAGGCTGGTAGTTGCGTTTCAATATCGTTAACTTTCCTTCTCAGGGTGCTGCAGAATTTCTCACTCATACACACCTAGGGGGAGAGAAATGGCCAGGAATCATTATTTATTCAGCTAAAAATCAGAAGGCAGTACAAGAGCCAGGTCAGAGATTTCTGGGTTTATAAGTACTTAAGAGAGGTGATGAAGAGTGATTGAAGGGTAATGCTCAAAAAGCAAGAAATAGAAAAAGAAAAACAAAGAAGAGAGGGACGGAGGAAGGGAGGGAGGGAAGAAGGAAGGAAGGGAGGAAGGGAGGAAGGGAGGGAGGGATGAGGGAAGAAGGGAGGAAGGGAGGGAGGGAAGGAGGAAGGCAGGAGGGAGGGAGGAAAAAAAAAAGAAAGGGAGGGAGGATGGGAAAAGGAAAGAAGGGAGGGAGGGAAGAAGGGAGAAGGAAGAGAGAAAAGGGAAGGAAGGAAGGAGGAGGGAAGGAAAGAAGGGAGAGAAGGAGGGAGGGAGAAAAAAGAAAGCAGGAAGAGAAGAAGGGAGAAGGAAGAAAGAGAGAAAAGGGAAAGAAGGAAGGGAGGGAGGGAAAGGAGGGAAGAAGAGAGGAAGGGAAGAAGGAAGGGAGGAGAGAATGGAGGAAAAAGAACAAAAATAAAGTGAGCAATGGTGTATTCCAACCATATGCCCATTGCCCCATACCCAATTACAAAACTGATGTGAGTTAACCCAATAGAGAGCAACCACAGGCTGAAATAACTGCACCACTCTGCCTCCTGCCTTCTGCAGCCTTTGCGGAATCCTCCCACCTGCAGCACTTTTGTAGTCCCAGGTGGTTTTGCTCACTCATGCCTTTTGGGGCTCTCTGCTCAGTCGCTGACTGGGAGGAAAGGCCTTGCTAATGACCCACCCAAAATAGCAGCCTCCCTTGGTCCTCCCTCCCCTTGATATTTTTCCACAGCTTCCTCTCACATGACACACCATGTGCTTCTAGTCCTTTGTTTCCATATTGTCTCTCTGCTGGGATGTGAGCTCCATGTGAACGGGGACTTTGCTCTGTGCCTGGCACACAGTATGCAGTGAATGAAGATATGGTCATTGAGATGAAGGTGAGAGCTGCAAGTTTGGTTTAATTACTAGTATTAGTGGACAGTGTTTAGAGAAACTTTGAAGGCAGACAGATACTTGCTGGCAAGTCAGATTTGACAAATAGACAAGTTACTCTCAGTGAGGTTTGAGAGTTTTATCAAGTATTTTCCCATGACACTCCAAATACATCCTACATTATTTTTCCATTGGTTCTTCAAAAATAGCAAAAAAAAAAAAAAAAACACCGTAATTTCTTTTTCCAAATGTCTTTAGGTTATCTTTTATTTTGTAGGAGGCTAAAACATCACATTAGCCTCGTTTTGAAGGCTAAAACCTCATATGACAACATTATCTAGACTCAGATTAATGAGCTACCTAGAAAAATTGAATTTCCCATAAGAATCTAGAGTTTGTTGGACACCACCAACCTTAAATGTTTCCTTATATCAGTCTGCTGAATTGAGATTATTTTTAGAGTTAAAGCAGACCTCACCCATCCTGCCTAAAATACTCCACTATTTCTCTCATGGATTTCCATATGTTCTATTCAGTGGCTGTAAGTTTCCAATATCTTTTTTATAAAAATCATCCTCTGGATGAAGACGACAGTTTGGTAGCCTCTAAACCAAAGCCTGCCCTGGTGGTGCTGGGCAGCCACATGTCCAAAGTAATTAATTCCACGACCCTTTCAGCAGTCTTGAGACTTTTCAGGATAACAGAACCAGAGTTAAAAGGAAGATTTCCTTTCCCCAGCACGAAGTCTTGGGTTGGCTCAAACCCAGAAGATTGGCACATCCCATCCTATCCCTTTAAAAATGTCATCTGAGGTCTGAGGGCATTTCCATTAACTCTGTAACACCAGCCATAATACTTATGTCTCAGTCAATCTATGTCCAATATTTCTGATTTTAGTGAACAGTATCTGTTCATCATAATTGGGTCAGTTTCTCCTTTGTTGAGCAAATCTATCCCTCAAGCTGTCATTATTAATACAAAACAACCTTTCTGAATTTTCTTATTAAATTGCAGTGTTCATTCTTTCGGGCTCTGCTGGATGTAATCTAATATCTACCAATCTCCAGATATTCCATTTATTTCCAACTGTTTCTTCTATCTCATTTATCCCTTAATTACCTTTGGTTTGGGTAACCCATAAGAGTTGAAGAAATATAATGAGTGCAAGGAAGGTTTCATTTCTTTCAGGGACAGGAATCTAAAGAATATCAGGGGTGTGTGTGTGTGTGTGTGTGTATGTAAAACACACTAGAGAAAGAAAGCTATGTCAAGCTGAGACTTTACCCCATGGTCACTGGTCAATCTAGTTTAAAGTAAAGGGAAAGGTGTTTTGTGTGACTGGATAGTTTTGTTTTAATTCTCTGTGGACTAATACAGCCCCCTACCCACAACACACACACATACACACACACACACACACACACTCATGACTGTGCACACATACCTGTCCACCTAACCACACAAACATACACATCCCCAGAAAAATCTGTGGATCCTTTTTATTTATAAATAAAATTAGATTCCAAGGAACTCATTATCAAATAGGGCTTTTATACTTACGTTTTAAAATCAAAGTCATGAGTTCCCTAATTTTATGGAAAAGTAAAGTAATTATGAAGTTTTATAAATGTAGTAGAGAAGGTATGTGCAATGCTCAGGAATGTTTTTATCCCCCCAGAATCATACGTTGAAATTCTAACTCCCAAGGTGATGGAATTAGGAGGTGGGGGATTTGGGAGGTGATCAGGTCATGAAAAGAGTCCCCATTAAGGGGATTAGTACCCTTATAAAGAAGCTCCAGAGGCCAGGTGCAGTGACTTACACCTATAATTCCAGCACTTTGGGAAGCTGAAGCAGGTGGATCACAAGGTCAAGAGATCGAGACCATCCTGTTCAACATGGTGAAACCCTGACTCTACTAAAAATATAAAAATTAGCTGGGCGTGGTTGTGCATGCCTGTAGTCTCAGCTACTCTGGAGGCTGAGGCAAGAGAATCACTTGAACCTGGGAGGCAGAGATTGCAGTGAGCCGATATAGCGCCACTGCACTCCAGCCTGGTGACAGAGTGAAACTCCATCTCAAAAATAAAAAGAAGCCCTAGAAACCCCACTTTGCCCTCTTCTTCCATCCCGAAATACAAGAAGTCAATGGTCTACAGCCTGGAAGAGGGCCTCTCACCAGAACTTAGCCATGCTCGTACCCTAATATCAGACTTCCAGACTTCAAAGTGATGAGAATTAAATTTCTGTTGTTTATAAGCTGCCCCATCTATGGTACTTGGTTATAGCAACTCAAATAGAGTAAGACTGTATTTACATAACAAAGCAAACCATTTTTGATATTTGGGAAAATCTAAGATCTTTAACATTAGTTGGAAATTATCAACAAATCCTCATGTTGGATGCATATCAGTATATGTGTGTATCCACAATATACAGTGTCATAAACACACACATCTAAGCACCATCTCATTATATAATAGGCACATCTGTATCCTCAATGTTCGTGTACAGATGAATTCATATTACACATATAGTATGTTCTGAAGATAATCAATAAACTCAGACCCAAGACAGCCTTCCCACCTTTTAATTCTTCATAGAAATCAGAAGCACCTGATAAACAGTAGAAAATGTAGGAGCGGCCTCGTGCGGTGGCCCATGACTGCAATCCCAATTTTGACACTGAGACAGGAGGATCGCTTGAGCTCAGAAGTTCAAGACCAGCCTGGGCAACAAAGCAAGGCCTGGTCTCTACTAAAAATCAAAAAAAGTTTAGCTGGGCATGGTAACATATGTCTGTAGTCCCAGCTATTTGGGAGGCTGAGGCAGGAGGATTACCTGAGCCCAGGAGATCAAGGGTGCAATCAGCTGTGATTGTGCCATTACACTCCAACCTGAGTGACAGAGCCTTTGGGTGAGCAGAGCAGAATTCAAGAATCTCTGGGTCCCTGGCTCCAATGGTGTCTTATGGGTACCATTTGTTCCTAACAGAAAGCTCTCTTTGTATGCAAGTTATAATTATTCATCAAACCTGTGGCTCTGTGAGTTTTAGCAAAATCACTGGGTGTTGTTTTGAGAAATAAATTAGATACGGAAATGGAGAAAATGCACAGAGTAACTCTAGACGTTTTTGCCAACAACATATCCCTGATTTCAGCTTGGATGCGGTGATCTCTTGGCATGTTTCCTGATCTAGGGTCCAAGACTTTCTTTCCCTGGGCACAGAGACTGGAAGAGAGTCCTTCCAGGCCAGCAGGCTCTCAGCTGTGTTGCTCTCTGCTCAGCGAGGTGTCCTTTTTACATTTTGACCATCGTACAACATCCCTACTGCAAATATTGAATGATTCATACCCATTCTCTGCTACAACATTTAGTCATAATTCACAGAGAAACTGATCCTGTTTCTCAGTCTGCCAGTAACTCAGCCACGTATAAATATATAGGGAAGGGCTTTTGTTTTGTAAACTGTGGTTATCCTAACTAATTGAGGACATTGACGATTTAATTTAATTAACTGTGCTCTCAGGGAATAATGAAGAAGAATTCTGTCTGTACAATGTCTTGCTATGGCAATATAAATGATGGATAAGGTAGGCAAAATGCTTGTTAAGCCAACTGAAAAGCTTTAAGGAACAACAACAAAAAAAACAGTCACCGACTATTTCATTTCTTAGGAAACTAGACATTGCCCTCCTGGGAAGAAAAGTAATTCATTTCTCAAATTACTACCATCTTGATAGCACTTTTTTTCCCACATTGGAAAGCAATGGTGCAATCTTGGCTCACTGCAATTACCACCACCCAGGTTAAAGCGATTCTCCCACCTCAACCTCCCAAGTAGCTGGGATTACAGGCACCTGCCACCACACCCAGCTAATTTTTGTATTTTTAGGAGAGACAGGGTTTCATCAGGTTGGTGAGACTGTTCTCAAACTCCTGACCTCAGGTCATCTGCCCCCTTCGGCCTCCCAAAGTGCTGGGACTACAGGCAAGCGCCACCTCACCCAGCCCTGAATGCATTTTTAAGCAATGACTCAATATGCATAGTGGCAGTCCTTTTCCAGTCCCTAAATTGACAGCTCCTTTTGCAGCAAAGGCCAACCCAGTCCATTTCTGGGGTGTCCACAAGTCGAGACCTCCACTATGACAGCAGCACTCTCTCCTGGCTCTTCTAACTCATCATCAGGCCTGCAAAATCTACAAGCTAGGTATCCTGTGATCTAGTGGTAAAATCAAGTCAAAGGAAAACTTCATAGGCTTCTTTGGAAAATGGGTGTATAAAGGTACTTACCTTGGTAGTGATTTCTTGAAGTGACAAGTTGAGGGATTTTATTCTTTCCTGGAGGCTGAAAGAATTAAAAAGAGAAGATTGGTCTTCTTGGTAACCACAGTTCAATACCACTACAGTTAAGAACACTGCAGAGAGTGACCCTTCCACTGGTCTGATGGCTGAAGAAGCACAGGAGGAAACATGATGCCAAGTTGGTTCCATTTGGCTATGGAATATATATGGTGCCAGGAAGCAGAGCTTTCCTCCCTTATTATGATTTATTAAAGCTAGTGTTATAATCTTATGCCCAGAGTGCACATCTACCGATAATGGGAAGAACAGCCAAGTTGTGCTCCTGGCAGCAAAGGATTAAAATCTGCATTCCTGTAACCATCTTCTCAGACAGAAGGTCTACACTGAGTAGGGTCTCACTGCAGGGAATCAAATAGTAACTATATGGGTATATCATGCAATTCAGTATACCCAGTGCCCTCTGCATCCGGCACTGACGTAGAACATAAAGGAGAGACACATATTTAAAGTGTCTGAAATAGCACCCTTAGGCTCCTCCTGCTTCCCTTTTCTCCTTAGCACTTTTCATCTTGACACATTTATTTACTCATGTAATTTCTGTCTCTCTCCCCCACTAGAACTTAAGTTCCACAAAGGCAGCGACTGTCTTTTGTGTTCACTCCTGCATCCCCAGTGCTAAGAAAATTCCTGGAGCTTTCGATATAGCTCAGTCAATATAGCTGTAGAAGGAATGAATCAATACAATTAAGACTCAGATCTTATTCTGAAGGTTGTTACCTCGTGGAGAAGAAACAGATGCATGCAATTCGCTATATAATATAAAGCCAGAGGAAAAAATTACTATAAGGGGAATAGAAACCAATACTGGGAGAAAAGTGCTACATAAAAGCTGTCACCAGGCAGAATATTGTCTGCCTTGAGCAATGGAGACAATAACTTGTGGAGCAATTTAGACCTAGGAGATTGGTGGGAACGCTTACCGAAAGAGGTGAAAAGTGAACTGGGCTTCCAAGAAAAACAGGAAAGGAGAATGAAATTCTAGTGAGAAGATAAATCTAACTGGAGCAAATGGTTCTCACAGGTGAGTTGTGAAAAAAAAGTTAAACAGGGAAATGACTATTTCTGGTAGGAAAGGAGAGGGAAGGATGGGGTAGGGCCTATCTGTATCTAAAATGTTTGCCTATTTATTTAGTTAGGGTCCGGGCGTGGTGGCTCATGCCTATAATCCCAGCACTTTGGGAGGAAGAGGCCGGTGGATCGCCTGAGGTTAGGAGTTCAAGACCTGCCTGGCCAACATGGTGCAACCCTCGTCTCTACAAAAAAAAAAAAAAAAAATTAGCCAGGCATGGTAGCATGCACCTATACTCCCAGCTACGCTGGAGGCTGAGGCAGGAGAATTGCTTGAACCCAGGAGACTTAATTGGAGTGAGCTGAGATCATGCCACTGCACTCCATCCTGGGCAACTCCATCTCCAAAAGGGTAATAATAATAATAATAATAAATGTATTTACTAGGGAAATAAAATCAAAGTAAAATGGAGCAAATCCTGCTATTTGTTTAAATTTTAGTGGTGGGTAAATGAGTAACTGTTGTGTTTCTAAATATGTTTGAAACATTTACAATTAAATTAATTTTAAAGAAATACCAAGGGCAAGTGCTAGTCGGTACTAAATGCCAAGCTAAGGAGTTTTGAGTTCTATCCCTCAAGCAATGAGAAATCATTCAGTTTTTTAGCAAAATAACAGTATGAAAGAAATGTTTTCGTTTTTTAGAAAAACAGGCAGCACGATGAGAGATGATTTGGAGGAAGAAAGTCTGAATGTGCCAAAACCAGGCAGGCCCCTTCAGCAGTGCAAGCCAGTCATGAGGTCCATGGGCCTCGCAGGGCGATACAGGTCAGAAAGGGGCGGGAGGAGCAGGACTGGATGACGTGGATGCTCACAGCAGTGACAACATCCATTCTAGAGTTTTCCACTCTTTCATGCACTCATGAACTCCTTCATTCTTCACGTATCTGTCTACTGAGCACCAAGTAAGCTAGGAACTTGGATCATGAAGACATGGTTCCTGCCCTCAAGCACTTACTGCTGCTAGAAATGCCAGAGAATGTTGCAGGTGCTAGAAGAGGAGTGATTACTTAATTAAATGAGGACCTGCAAAAGCAAAGGTCAAGGTTTCTGGGGCATGCGTGGGGAGGAGAAGGGAAGGGGTGCAGAAGGTCAGGAAATCTTATACTGAGGTTGCCAAGTATCAGAGCTAAGCTGCTAATTTGCTGATTTTTGTCTGTTCTTCAACTTAAGAACTTTTTTTTTTTTTGAGACAGTCTCACTCTGTCGCTAGGCTGGAGTGTAGTGACATGATCTTACTGCAATCTCTGCTTCACGGGTTCAAGTGATTCTCCTGCCTCAGCCTCCTGAGTAGCTGGGACTATAAGCATGCACCACCATGCCCGGCTAAATTTTTGTATTTTAGTAGAGACAGGGTCTCAGCATGTTGGCCAGGATGGTCTCAATCTCCTGACCTCGTGATCTGCCTGCCTCAGCCTCCCAAAGTGCTGGGATTACAGGCTTGAGCCACTGCGCCTGACCAAGAACTATCTTTTGATGTTACCACATCCACCAATTTGTCATTTCTGAGCATAAGCAAATTTGTTTCAATTGTAAATACCAGGGAACTACTGCACTGCAGGTCTATGCTAGTCAGTCATTACCACTTTAGACCTACTTTCAACAGAGAAGGGTTTTCCAGTCCAGCTGAGATCAACCCAAATGGAGGAAGTGAGGGTTGACAGAATGCGGGGCACGTGACACCAGACTGTTCGGAATTCAGGAGTTGCCATCTGACAAAAATTAGTGTACTCAGTGGGAATCGTGCAAAACAACATTTGGAATCCTGCCTGGAGAATTCTAGACTCTGGCTGGCTGGGGATTGGATCTTTTGAGAGAAGGTAAGGCAGAGTGTCACACAGACATGCAGACTGGGGCAGATGAAACCACTGAGGTGGTGGGGAGAAAAGAACAGAGAGCATCGAACATGGACCCGGTCTGGTTCTGCCTCTGATTCTTGTAGCAGCACCAGCTTCGGGTGGCTAATGCCTGCTGTCCAGACTGAAAACCTTCCTTGGGCAGAAATGCCTTTTCCCTTGCTGAGCTCATGGGAGTCTATTCAACAAATAAATGTTTAATAAGTGGTTCACCACATCATTGAATCATCATCAGCATTTAATAGTATATTATAAGTAGGCATTCCCAACCACACACAGACTAGTTCATGCATTAGCAAATCAGATAGTTAGGAGATCCTCTTACTGTTAATGAAATTTTAGCTGATCAAAACAGCAGTGCTCAACATATCACATAAAAAGTAGGTCAAGCACCATCTTTGCAGGCCTTGACACACTTCCCTGGTCTGGGCTCAGATCTGACCCTATCCCAGAAAGAAAATTGGTCTCCTCTCAGATATCCATGTTAGAGGAAGGAGGCCGTGATGCAGATAATTAATGCATTGTTTTATATTTGATTTGATTGGCTTAATTTATGCTATATTCCTTTTTGCAACAGATTTACCTTCCCAATTACGTTTTCCTCAGGCTGTTATTAACATTAGTTGTATCCCTGGAGCATTCACAGAATAAAAGCAATTGTGGGGAGAGCAGCCGATGTGAGTAACCTATACACTACGCTAGTGGGTTTCGGGCTATTTTTAGTAGAAGAATTCTCTCAAACCAAAGTTTACACAGCACTATAAAATATAATGAAGATAACAGGGAATCTGCTTTCAATTGTAAATACCGGGGAACTACTGCACTGCGGGTCTCTGCTAGTCAGTCATTACCACTTTAGACCTACTTTCAACAGAGAAGGGTTTTCCAGTCCAGCTGAGATCAACCCAAATGGAGGAAGTGGATATTTATTGAAGTAGGGTATCTGGCCTGGAGGACCAAGATGGCACATTAAACCCCCAGACACACACACATTGCTGCTGCCATGCTGTGATCCCCAAACCTTCATTCCGGGGCAGGAATACAAATGTAAAGCAGCAAATAAAACCAGTTCAATGTTGATAAGCGAGAGTTCCACGTACTCTAATGATTAAAACCAATCCCCGCTTTTAAAAAGTCTTGAGTATTATTCATAAAAAGTAAAAACTATCCGCTCAGATGAAATTATGCCTCACCCTAGAAACACATAATTTGTCCACACAAATTAGCAAATATGTTTTCAGAAACACACCAGACCTAATTTACCCAAATAAGTATCTTCATTCAAAGCAGCTGCCCTGGAAATAATAGAGTCCAACATTTATTGAACACTCACTATGTACCAGACACTCTTCCAAATTCTTTAGGTAGATGAGCATTTAAAATTCTTATTATAACTCTATGAAGTAGAAACTATAATTATCTACACTGTAAGGCAAGAAAACTTAAAGAGACTAAGAGGGGTGGCTGTGATGAAAGGAAATTAAATGCAAAGGGGCCTGTCACTAGTTGAGTTGTGTCCCCCAAAATTCACAGGTTGGAGTCCGAATCCCCAGTACCTGAGAATGTGACTGTGACTGCAGATAGGGCTTTTATTTTTATTTGTTTATTTTTTCTTGTATTAAAGTGTATTTTTTAATCTTGTTTTTTAAAATTATACTTTAAGTTCTAAGGTACATGTACAGAACATGCAGGTTTGTTACATAGGTATACACGTGCCATGGTGGTTTGCTGCATCCATCACCCCATCATCTACGTTAGGTATTTCTCCTAATGCTATCCCTCCCCTATCCCTTCACCCCCTGCTATCCCTCTCCTAGCCCTTCACCCCTCAACAGGTCCGGTGTGTGATGTTCCCCTCCCTATGTCCACGTGTTCTCATTGTTCAACACCCACTTATGAGTGAGAACATGCAGTGTTTGGTTTTCTGTTCTTGTGTCAGTTTGCTGAGAATGATGATTTCCAGCTTTATCCATGTCCCTGCAAAGAACATGAACTCATCCTTTTTATGGCTGTATAGTACTCCGTGGTATATGTGTGCCACATTTTCTTTATCTAGTCT